ACACCTGGACAACAACAACACCTACGCCAGAATGCTGTTTATAGGGCTTTGGAGTTGACGTCACGCCGCAATGCATTGTGGGAGCGCAGCTCCATTTTCGGGGTCTACGAATCAAAACAAACACACTGTGTTGGAACGACGACGACAAGAAACATGCTTAAAAGCAGCTCAAAAGAAAACGGACGGTATAGAGACCGATTGCGTCCAGAGGCGAAGCAGCGGTACTTGAAAAAAAATAGAGTGCATCGCAAATCTGGACCCATTTGAAATACGGCAGTGGAGTAAAGACCCAGACGACTTACCGCCACTGTCCTACCCCGATATCTTCACGTATCTTGTTTGTGGAGTAAGCGCTTACACAGCGAACCAGTTTCGTAATTACAAGTCACTGGAGGCGCACATCCAATTTACAAATGGCTGGGTGCAAGATTTGGCTATTTTCAAGCCGCCAAACTCTGAGTACGTCGTCAAAGTAAGTCAGCTGGAGTGCATCGAGTGAAATAGCCATTTTCCACCCCCCACCATAATTAATGTTACACATTTATCATTTAACTGCTAAAATATCGTTATCATATTATATGCCCATAATTGTAAAGTACATGCAAATTAACACATTGATAATCGGGTAAATTATTAACGCCAATTTGTGTCCTTCCTGTCTCATTTCATTTATTGTCTTTACATCAACCAATCAAGTCACTCCATTCTATGTTTGATCGCAATTTCTATAAGTTCCGAGACGATGATATTATTCAGCTATAAAGTGTGATGTGAACATATTTAGAACTTACCGGAATGAAAATGTCTTGAGCACACCAGCTGATATCTGGAGACGTAACAGAACATGATATCAGCTCGTCTCATGGCTGCTATCCAGGCTAGACGCCTTCGTTTGGTAATATCCGATACATGAGCTCCTTCATGTTGCTTCCAGGTTGGGAAAGCATAAAAAGACAATCCAAACTTATTCCCGTGCCGGTCGTAAGATCGAACATTGCAGCCGACCACACAGCAAGTACGAACCATGGCTATGATTTCGCTCCTTACTTAGACCCCCAAAATGGCGGATCGGGCCAAAATCCTTTCCACGCCCACCCCCGTGACATCACGCTCCAAAGCCCTATAGACTTCAGTTCAGCATTCAATACAATCCACCCCTCACAACTCATCAGGAAACTGACAGACCTGGGCATCAGTTCCCTCATGTGGAAATGGTTACTGGACTTCCTGACCAACCGCCCCCAACATGTCCGGCTGGATAACCGCTGCTCATCTACAATCACAATGAACACCGGTGTACCACAAGGCTGTGTGATGAGCCCTTTCCTCTACTCCCTCTTCACCCACGACTGCAGACCTGCTGATGGTTCCAACACCATCATTAAGTTTGCAGATGACACCGCGGTGATTGGCCTCATCAGTGACAACGATGAGGCCGCCTACAGGGAGGAGGTGGATCGTCTGGCTGAGTGGTGTGACACAAACAACCTGCTGCTTAACACCGAGAAGACCAAGGAGCTCATCGTGGACTACAGGAGGAATGCTGACCCACATCCACCCATCCACATTAAGGGGACGGCTGTGGAGCGTGTGAGCAGCTTCAAGTTCCTGGGAGTCCACATCTCCGAGGATCTCATCTGGACGACCAACTGCTCCAAGCTGGTCAAGAAGGCTCACCAGCGCCTCTTCTTCTTGAGGACTCTGAGGAAGAACCACCTGTCCTCAGACATCCTGGTGAACTTCTATCGTTGCACCATCGAGAGCATCCTGACCAACTGTATAACAGTCTGGTACGGGAACTGCTCTGCCTCGGACCGGAAGGCGTTGCAGAGTGTCGTGAAAACTGCCCAGCGCATCGCCGGAGCACCACTTCCTGCCTTAAAGGACATCTACAGGAAGTGGTGTCTGAAAAGGGCTGGGAAAATCATCAAAGACCCCAGTCACCCATCACATGGACTCTTCACCCTCCTGCCCTCTGGGAGGCGCTACAGGAGCCTCCGGACTAAGACCACCAGGTACCAGAACAGCTTCTTCCCCACAGCTGTCAGACTCCTGAACTCTGCCTCCTGACATCTGACCCACGTTAAACTCATGGACTGGACATATACACACACCCACAACCACCTACACACACAATGGACAACTGTACCGTCAAACACACAATAATAACATGGACTGAACCACCACTCACAACCACTAGCACTTTACATACCTCTGTAGAAATTATCCACATATCTCACTTATTTTAACTGCACTACTGTATAGCTCTGTGTAAATAATCATTCTGTACAATATGATAATTTTAATTCTACAACTGTTTACAACTTGCATAGTTCCCATTTCTGTATAGCTGTATATCTCAGATTTCTGTATAGTTTTTCATATTTATATCCTGTTCATAGCCTGTACATAGCTTGTACTCACTACAGCCTGTACATACTTATAGTTATAGAATATTCACAACATACTTCATACCGTGTACATTATAACATACCATAATAGACCCATTTCTGTAATATACTCACATATCTATATTATTGCTAATATATATTGTAATATATCTATATCACTAAAGCACTTCTGGATGGATGCACACTGCATTTCGTTGCCCTGTACATGTGCATGTGCAATGACAACAAAGTTGAATTCTATTCTATTCTATTCTATTCTATTCTATTCTATTCTACTGTGCTGCAGTGGTTTGTATCATATCTATCTAATAGACTCCAGTTTGTGCATGTAAATGGAGAGTCCTCTTCACACACTGAGGTTAATTATGGAGTTCCACAGGGTTCAGTGCTAGGACCAATTCTGTTTACATTATACATGCTTCCCTTAGGCAGCATCATTAGAAGACATAGCATACATTTACACTGCTATGCAGATGGCACCCAGCTCTATCTGTCCATGACGCCAGATAACACACACCAATGAGTTAAACTGCAGGAATGTCTTAAAGACATAAAGACCTGGATGGCCGCTAACTTTCTGCTTCTTAATTCAGATCAAACTGAGGTTATTGTACTCGGCCCTGAATATCTTAGAAATATGGTATCTAACCAGATTCTTCCTCTGGATGGCATTACCTTGGCCTCCAGTAACGCTGTGAGGAACCTTGGAGTCATTTTTGACCAGGACATGTCCTTCACCGCACATATTGAACAAATATGTTTAATTGAATTGGTAATTGATCAGACTATGGATCAGTGACTCATTCCTGCAGTTCCTCTATTCAATTCAATTTTATTTACACAGCGCCAAACCACAACAACAGTCGCCTCAAGGTGCTTTATATTGTAAGGTAGACCCTACAATAATGGATACAGAGAAAAACCCAACAATCATATGACCCCCTATGAGCAGCACTTTGGCAACAGTAGGAAGGAAAAACTCCCTTTTAACAGGAAGAAACCTCCGGAAGAACCGGCTCAGGGAGGGGCGGGGCCATCTGCTGCGACCGGTTGGGGTGAGAGAAGGAAGACAAGATAAAGACATGCTGTGGAAGAGAGACAGAGGTTAATAACAAGTACAGTGCAGTGTCTCCATTTGGATAATAAAAGTAGATTTTTAAAACACAGCAGTTTTACATGTGCACCTTTTTGGGGGGGGGAATTGTAGTCCATACAGACAATACTGATTTGTAAATGATTAACTAACAATCTTGTGCTTGTGCTTAAAGTGTTTGGCACTCTTTGGCAATATTGTAGTAAATGTTAAACTTAATCATCACATTGGCCTCCTCTGACGACCTGTTTGCTACCGCCTGCTGCTGAAAGGCAGTGGGGAGAGGGGCCACTTGGGCAATGCATTTATCACGATTTGAGATGGGGAAACTGTTCTTGAAGTACACAGAGAGAGAGAGAGCTGTGCATGAAGTGTGATTGTTATCGTGGTGGAGGCAAAATAGCAAAAGTAAGAGATGATGATGATGTTTATCAAATGTGAAGCGTAGTTTGTTGCTTCTTTTGCTGCTGGTTCAGTGAACTTTGGTTGGAGACAAAACCTGCAGCTCAGAATCGAGCGCAAAAAAAGACGTAAACACAGCGCCGACCCGACACATCAGGATCAGTGAGCTGTCGGCTTTTCAGCCCCGATGCCGTGTGAGGGCCGTTGGGTGAGAAAGCCGAGGAAGAGAAAGCTGATTCGGATGTGTCGGGTCCGCGTTTACGTCTTTGTGTGGCATCTGTTTACGTGCTCTCATTTGCTGTTTGTTGAAATAGTTTTGTGAGCTTTAACCTGAGATTCTGTCATTTCTGGCAAAATCCATTTATATTTAAAAGTTGATTCAGGATGTGAATATGAATCGATATCGCTTTATTCAAGCTACTCACCTCTGTCTGTCTGCCCGCCCTGGACTTTCAAACATATACACGGATTACATGAATATCTGGACCACGACCAATCAGAGAGGTCCCGCCCCTGACTATCTTTGATTGGTTTAGACCATGATAGGGGCACAATGTGTGTCTGCTGTTGACCACGGAGACTTTCAGAGTTGCGGAGTATTTTTTATTTATTTTTTTTGTTACTCGAACAGTTGGTCGCACCAGTATTGCTCTCGTTTTCTTGTTTTCTTTTTTCTTTCTCAACAGGTAATCCAGGTGATTGATAGATGTATTTTTTGTCTGCTTATTTAGTTGGTTTTTGTTTTTTGCCCTTTATCCCCGTCCCTCTTCTCCGCTGTTTTTTCCCCCTCTTCCTTTCTCCCTTTTCTTTTCCTCATTCAAGTCTGTCCCGTATTTAGCAAGTGAAAATAAAAAATAAAATAAACAATAAAAGGTGAATCAAATAGACCATTACGGCAAGGCTGGGATGGTCCATTTGGTAAAGTAAATCCGTTGGGCATCTTTCCTCGCCTTTAGACAATAATTCTGATGGCAAAAGAGCCAAACGGGACAGGCAAAAAAAAAAAAAAAGAGAAGAGAAGAGAACCTTCACAGCCCCAAATTGTAGTATTTATAAAAACAACAACAACCAAGTTTTACTTTTGTGTTCTGCAGCCGAGTTGGCTTCTACATCAGCACCTTCAAGAGTGTAACGAATCTTGAAGCAAAGTTTCATCGTGAGATCTCACTGGTGAGTTTTTCATTTCCTAAACCAACAGGGTTGCTTTTCTTTTTTTCTTCGAAATCATTTGAACTGAAAAATGTCTCTTTTAAACCATCCAGGTGTGCAGAGAACTGTACGAAGTGATGACCAAACTGGGAGAGCAGCACTCTGACAAGATATTCACCATCCAAGGGGCTCCGAGGTCAGTACAAGCTTTTTCCATAACTGAGGAAAACGAAGGTAGATCAGCGTTTGGTTTCAGTGTCTTAAACTGATTGTACAATGTGATGGCAGCAATGGGTTTAGAAAAAATCAATTTTATTATTCTGTTTTTAGTTATTCTTTCAACATAAACCAATCAAACTAGAGTTTGGGTGGCTGGGATTTAAAGATAATAGTCCAGTTTCCTTCCACAGTTCAAACACATGCATTTTAACTGGTCATCTAAGGAGCTTGGAAAGAAAAGCATCTGGACTACGATAACCTGGATGACTGAGAACCTTCACAGATTTATTAACTGGTCATTGTAAAGTACCCATAGAGTTTTAATCCACTCATCATGGACATGGATGTCATGGTAATTTGGGGCTTTTAATGATTTCTTTGAACTGTTCTTTTTCCAGAAAGTTCTTCAGAATTTATTTAGGATTAAGACAGTGTTTCCCAAACCTTTTTTGCTATGCCCCCCTTTGTTTTACAAGAAAAATGTTCGCACACGCACGCACAAACACATCCTCCAACCTCACACACCCTTATTTTGCTCCATCGTGGTTTATTTCACACTTCAAACATTTAGTAAACAATTAAACAAATACAAGTAATCTGCAATAAATTACAGGTATTAAGGAAATAAACTACTAACTCTTTTACGCTGTGTCCGCACCTACACGGGTATTTTTGAACACGCAGCTGTTTCGTCCACATAAACGGCGTTTTGAATCACAGAAAACTGAGATTTTTTTAAACTCCTTTTTTGCGTTTACGTGTGGACGAGGAATACAGAGTTCGTCACGCAACGTCAAAGGTATGTGCCTTTTTCCACGTCACGCTGTGGCCACGTTATTGTTTACATGAGATGAATTGCAGAATAGCAGATAGAGACAAAATACTGTTAATCTGACTGTCTGCAGGTTTTACACGCAGTTACTGTCCCTCCATTTACAAAGGCAGAGGCGTCACGGTGTCATTATTTTACGTGTAGTTGTTTTTTCCTGTGTAATAATGTTCAACATTGCTGTCAATACATTTTTCAAAAAAAGGCTCTCTGTGAAAAATGGGTTCAAAAACATAAACAGCTGTGGGATCCTGTTTGCCTGTGATTTGAACTGGGGGAACAAATCGTGTCAGGATCAGCCTGATGTTATTTGTATCCCGCTGTAACTTTACTGTATAAAGAGCAAACATCTCCAACATGTCAGGCGTAGTTAGTCATTACAACAAGTGTTTGTGAACTAAAAATCAAGAATGTGGGATCCTGTTTGTCCGTGATTTGGAGAGCTCAGCGCTGCTCCCGACGAACGGAAAATTAATCCTGCAGGACACTGGTGCAGGTGAAGCCAAAGGGAAGATTTGCTTCACCATATTTTCTAGTCTTTGGCTTAGAATGAAGTTGGTTTGGAAACATATTCAGCGATGCTTCATTTCCTACTTTGCGTTTGTGGGCGCCCCGTGCTAGCAGTGTCCAAGCGTTCAGGTTTTTTTTTTCCCTTTTCATACCGCAACCCGCTGCAATGGCGCTGCGCCCCCCCCAGGGGGCGGGCCCCACACTTTGGGAAGGTCTGGATTAAGAGATGGAATGGCTTCTGACACTTCTTACTTGCATAAGTCCTTTCTTTGTGGCTCAGACAGCAAAAATATATATATATATTTTTTCCCCAGGAATTTTGCTCTGTCCTCAGGAGAAGACGTGTCTTCTGAATATAAACTAGCAATATAAAACTAGAAAGTTTCAGAAGAAATTTTAAGTGTGCCTATGCTGCTGCCAATGAGTGTTGTTTGCCATTGCCGGCTACAGGGAGCAAAACTCAGCAGAGCAGCCCTTCTCCACCATGAACTACGGTAAAAACAAACACTGCTCGCGCCTTACAGATGACAGCTTACAGTCTTGCGTAAAGATGAAGTGACTTCGTACAGCCCCGATTTGCAGACGCTGTGCGCAGAAGTTCAGGAGCAAAAGTCCCATTGTACCACGGCAGACATGATGATGTTTGCATGAACACGCTTTCTTAAAGCCTTTGAATGAAAACAAAAGGCTTTAAGTCAGCTTACATCACTGTCATACATATTCCTGTTGGTATATGTATGATTTCTATACATTTTACGTCAGATAAAAATGTTGTTCGTAAGATTCAGATAATTATTAAATAAAAGCCAGATATTTTAAATGAGAATAAGAAAGAAAAGTATTTCTTTGTGTCCCCCTTTACCTGTTAATGCCCTGCCTGGCCCCCTGGCAAAACTTTGCTAGATTCGTCCCTGCACAGTTACCAGCTGTCAGCTACTTAGAAAAGGATCCTGGTGTTATTTGTCTCTCAGAAACAGCTCATAACTTCCCTTCAACTCATTCATGTCACCTAAAAGGTAAACCTGTTTCTCCATCACCTGTTCAGCTCTGATGATTCAGTAAGGACATCTCCTGGTTTCATCTTCATGTTTCCCTCTCACCAGATATACAAACCAATATCATGACCAGCAGCTTTTATAGCTGTGGCTCCAGCAAACATCAGCTGATACTAGAAATTAATATAAAAAAAAATTCTAACAACAGCCGATCAAACTTAAACGTGCTGCTGTTGTTTAGCGCGACACCCGCCGATTTCCCCGTTCTGGCGCAAAGTGGGCCAGATGTAAAGGTGATGACTGAAATTAGTCAATTAGTCTGTATCTGCTCAGTTTGAATCCAACAATAAGATGCTGTGCCCCAAAAGCTAAAAATAGTCTCTATCTCTTACTCTCTCTCTCACACACACACACACACACACACACACACACACACACACACACACGGTGTCATAGTCTATTAATTGGTAGCTTAAAAAAGAAGCTGAGGTCCATATTAGAAAAGCTGCTAAAATCATAAAACTTTACAGAATTGTAATAAATTAGCAATATAAATTGCTGGTCTGTGGTAGTGTATTAATTCGTAATGGAAAACAATAAGGTTGAACCAGGTGGAATCAAACCCACAATATTTGGTCTGCAGACCCGTGTCATTACCAATTGCGCCACTGACAAGAGCAAGGGGTGCCTGGAAACCAGAGTGATGAGCAGTCAGAATTAGATTGCACTGAGAGGCGAAAAACGCCGTTTGTTTTGGTGTTACAAAACGTCGTGTAACTCAAAAAGTAGTTGGGATAGAAGAATAACTCTTGTACTGGGTCTTGGCATAGGCACACTTATGCACACTAACTCTAACCCTAATAAGAAGAATAAATCTGACGAATAGTAATAAGTATAAATCTGACGAATAGTAATAAGTGTGCCACTCGGCATAGGCACACTTAATAATGAAATTATCAATGTACTAAACATGGTGCATTCAGACTCAGTGTCCGCAGCCACCCTTAGAATGCTTGTCCAAGCTCTACAACAGGTGGGAGTTGAAGCTCTGACGTACCAGGGCATCTCCCACTGCTACTGCACCATCACTGAATGTTTAGGTGAAGCCGGTCTGTCCAGCGTACTACCCCACCACCTGATCCAACTCGCCACCAGGTGGTGATCCGCTCCTCTCTTCACCCGAGTTCCCAGAACATATGGCTGCATAGCTGATGATATGATTACAAAATTGATCATCGAACTGTGACCTAGGGTGTCCTAGTGCCACCTGCACTTACGGGCATCCTTATGTTCGAATGTGGTGTTCACTTTGGACAAACTGTAGTTTGCACAGAAGTCCAGTGTGGGCAGTTGCAAGTTGAGTTTAAAGGTGTTGATTATGGAGCAGGGGCTTCTTTCTTGGATGGCACCCTCTTAGTTCCTGAGATGTTTCCAGTTCATGGCAAGCTTGAGCCTTGGTGGTTCCTGGGTATTCTTGAACCAACCAATTTCCTCTGAACCTGAGGGGGACAGTTTGGGTCTTCCAGACCTAAGAAAGTGTTGACTGATCCAAATAACTTCTACTTAGTAATGTAAAGTTAAAATACCTTACCTTTTAATGTTAAAAGACATTCAGCACCACTTATTAAAAATGTAAGCGGGTGTATGTATACTTTTTTCCTATGTGGATTGTAGAGAATAAAATTCCTGGTTCTTTTTTTTTTTTTTAGGTTACATCCTGGAAAAAGAACAGTTCAGAGAAATGATGAATAGCACAAAATTACCTAACATTCATGGCCATGATTAGTGGATGAAAACTTCTGACTGCAGCTGTTGTCGTGTTCAAATTTTTCAGAAGGGATTCAGGAGAAATTTCTGTCGGTTAAAAAGATTTAATTTGCTTCAGTAGTTGAAATTACAAGTTGAAGCATTGAACCTCTGTGTGAACCACTGGTCTGCTACTCAGAAAGGATGACTGTCACAAATCACTGAGGACTCACACGCAGGACGCTCCAACTTGAGAAGGACACAGTGGAATTTTTTACACGTTCCACCAAGTGTATGTACAGACAGCGTAGGGAATAGTGCCATATACAAAGGTGACAGGGGTGTGGGCTCCAGGGAATCCAAGGTGGGGAGGATGGGGGGAAAACACTCGCTCCTCTTCGATCACTCACTGCTCGCCACCGGCCACTCTACAATCACTCGCTACAAGGAATCCTCTCAGGGAACACAGGGACGGGTCCGGGAATTTATATACAGAACATACACGTTAGCACAAAGGCACAGAAGTAACAAAGGCTTTATACTTTGAGAGCCCGGCTACACTGACGCGAGTCACACAATGATCCAGCGATGAATAGCCGCCATCCCTCGGCTTAAATGCTAACAGCGTAAGGGTTCAGCTGTTTCCTCTTCACGGGTGCGTAGCCAAGGGCATGAACCCACATTGAGTTCCGCCCCGGCGAGAGAGAGACAACAGTGCTACTGATCAGCTACCTGCTGATCCAAAGGGCCCTGACAATAACGGTGAAACGGGCTGTCCAGCTTATATACTGTGACAATAACAAAAGATTATTATGGCCATCTTCTCCCAACACAAATGCGGCAGTGTGCTCCTCCCATCCATTCACTTCCGACCTCCCATCTGCTCTGATTCCTGGAAGACACAGACACATAAATACACCCTACGTATCCTTGGCTATCTGCTCTTATTGTTATGCTGATTTCAGTTCAGGACATCTTTTTCGGACTTCCTGACCCAGAGACTATTCTAACCATTATCATGTATGTAAGCATGCTGCAAAAACCCTCTGCACTCTACGTGTGCAAATTTTCAAATCCAGACAACAGCGCTGAATGAAGCTCTCAACCCTCAAACACGCGCCAACACACTTATGAGCACATTTGCATTGTTTATATATTAACATAATAAAATGGCTTCATTTAATTATTTTATAAACAATTTAACAAATTTTCAACACTAAGTTTGAATGTGAGTGTGACAGAAGTCTTTGCTTAGTTCCTGTCCTGTTCATCAGTGATTCAGGACCTCTACGACTCGCGAGAACCCCATCACCACCAGAAGATGAGAGTCCACCTGATAGTCCAGATCTCAGCACCAATCATATGCTCCGTCCCATCTCACCTGGACCGCCTCGACCCAAATCTCCAATGCAGGTAAGTGTCAGGTCCCATGTAGATGTTAGTCACTGGATCTAGTTGTGTATCTGGACAAAATAATAATTTTCATTGTTTGTAAAAATGTAAATGTAGTAATTAGTTTTGCACTTGAATATTTGACCGAAGTTAATTTCATAGGTGCAGGTGTCAAACTCCAGTCCTCGAGGGCTGTGGTCCTAAACTTTTCCATGTGTCCCTGCTGCAGCACACCTGAATAACATTAGCAAGACTTTATAGGACTTGACTGCAAGCTGAGGAGGCAGTTCAGCCCTTTGATTCGTGTAACAGCAGCTCATGAGTGAATGAACATGGTGCAATAAAAGTACTTTTAGAAGTACATTTTTCAAAACCCTTTACTTCACTCTAAGTTACTTGAGTAGGGTTAGGGGTTGCAGTCAAGCTTTATAGAGTCTTGCTAATTAGCCACTAACTTTATTCAGGTGTGTTGCACCATGGACAAGCTTCAGGACAGCGGCCCTCAGTGACTGGAGTTTGACAGCCCTGGATTTGGATTGTGTTTTTAAAAACATGAAAATTTTAATAATTTTAAACACCCGACCTCACTCACAGCAGTGATCGATCACATGGCCTCATTACCAAAGCATTCAGGTGTTTCCTTTAAAAACAGAACTCTGTGGCAGTGCTGCTAACCAACTTTTGTCCTCCGCTGTTGACGGCGGAAATCTCTTTGCTGTTCCAACCTCAAAGGCTGCGAATAGGAATTTCTGTCAGTGATCAATAATGTCAAAGTCACAGCTCACCATTGTCTTTAACTGCAAAACTCGACCTGATCAGACTGAACAATAATAACAAGCGATCGATGGGTATGCATGACTGATAGTGGTGTGTTTGTTTGAACTTCACGGTAACTTTCTGGGACTGTTTTTTCTTTGCTGCACACTTTTGTCTGTTGATTTGGTGAGTGAACAAGAGCTGTCTGTCCTGTGTCTGTGCCTCTGTCTGTAGATCACTACAGCAGTGTTATATACAGTCTGCAGATCATATATAACACAGTAGAGCCCGAGAGTAGAACATCACCTAGTTTCTACTGATGTTCATGAGATCTGACCTTTCCTAACATTTAACGTTCTGTACATGTCAGTGTATGTTGGTGTGTCTGTAATGTCATGGCAAGTTTCTACAACACTGGTTGAGTTTGCTAAGGTGCAGTGCAAGAGCTGATATCTTAACCAGGAAATAGTGTAAAAACACCAAAACACGGAGGATCTCAATTGTCAGCCAGCCCATATGAGCTGCTGCTGATACTGAAATGTCATCAGACACCTTAAGACAAAATACAGGAATATCTGAGCATTGGTTCATTGACTCAAATAAAGACGCTGGCTGTGTAATGTGCAGATTCTTATGTATGATGTACAATAATAATTAAGTTTGTTGGTGTACAAATGATCAAAAACATTTTTACAAAAACGAAATACAACCAAAATTAAAGAAAGGAGATTTATCATTTCTAAAAAACATTTGTTGTCTAATTTTAAAATAGAGCCACGGCAGACTAGAGCACACTCTGACCATACTAATGAATGAAAACAAGTCATCACATCTCAGTGATGACTGAAAGAAAAGGAGCACTCTGCTGTTTTTTCTTACTTACAGAACTTTGAAGGAGGGTTAAGATCCACACATGAGTCAGGGTCGGGTCTGAATCCTCCTTGTCAGTCTGACATGGTGGGGGTTCACATTGTAATCATGTCATAGAGATGGTAAATGGACTGTTTCTTCAATTCAATTCTTTATTTATTTGTCACATGTAGTTATAACTAGTACAACACACAGTGAAATGTTTTTTCCGGCTAAAAAGTACTCCCCCCCCCCGACTGTGCATCTTACTAAACTTATAATAAAAAAATATCTATATAAAAGTATAAAAATGTATAATATCGTGCAAAATATTACGCTGTAATAGTTAAGAGCTATAGTGTACGTATTTACATAAATACAGATGTATATGATAAAATACAAATAAAAATAAGGATAAAACTCAAAAGAAAATTATATACTGTGTATGGAATTGTCCATCATGTTGTCCGATTTGTGTTTTGATTGAGGAGTCTCACTGTTTGTGGGTAAAAACTCCTCCTGAACCTTTCAGTTCTTGTTTTCAGGCTACAGAGGCGTTTCCCTGACCTCAGTGGCCTGAACAGTTTGTAAGCGGGATGGCTGGAGTCGTTAGTGATCCTGATGGCCCGGGATCTGCACCTTTCAGCGTAGATGTCCTGCAGTGTTGGTAAAGATGTTCCCATAGTGCGTTCAGCTGTGCGCACGACCCTCTGCAGGGCTTTCTGTTGCTGTACTGTGCAGTTCCCATTCTTATAGTTCTTATATACAACCATTCAGTAAAGCACTGTTTTTTGTTTTAAGTGCGTTCTGACATTCACACACTGCTTCAGAGAGCAACATGGGGTGGTATCTTGCCCAAAGATTTGGTATGCAGACTGGGATCAAACCACCAACCTTCCGGTAAGTAGGTGACCTGCCCTACCACTCACCCTGTGGGTGGGTGCAGAACTAACTGAAAATACCAAACAGTTAAATCTAAACAGGCTGAAAGGTGAAACTAAAAAAACTAACCCAAAAATGCTACCACATAATCAGCAACATTCATTGTACACTAACCATTAACTAAGGTACCCAGCACACACACTTAAAAGTTAAGAACAAGTGTCCCGTCCAATCCCCCACATAGTTTCAAAGGAGCCCAGTCTATCAGTCAGAGAATAAAAAGCATGCTCTACTCTCAGACGGGATGCCAACAGACCCTTTAGACTTTGCACAACATCAGTCCAACCCAGACCTAGCAACTGGTTCTTCCTAGTCTCCCATATTGCCAGCTTAGCTGTGCCAAAAAAAAAATTGATCAGAACCAAGGTCTGTCTCTTCTGCACTGAATACCTAGCGCCAAAAACAAACAAAGGTACAGAGAAAGTCTCCCCCAAAGATTCCACCCACTCCTGCAACAAAGAAAATAAACCCACTAGCCGCGGACAACAGACCACTAAGTGCTCCAACGTCTCCCTCTCTGAGCAAAAAGGACAACACTCCCCAGTGCTTGGATCCAGGTGGGCTCTGTGTCTGTTCGTGGCTGTTGCTCCATGTACAATCCTCCACTGGAGGTCAGCCATCCGTTTTTCAACAGGAGGCTTATACAGGACACTCCACCTGCCTTTAGGGGTAGAAACCGAAGCAAAAAACCCAGTCCATTTTGACTCCCGGATTCCAACCAGAGAGTGGAAATTCAGCACCTTAACACAGCAGAAATAAAGCTGCTTCTTGCCACAAGAGTTGAAACTATCCAGCACTGGTGTCCCCAGGGAGAGAAGCATGCCACTCCCCTCAGGCTGCTCCTCAAAGGCAGGACTGACCATCAATGAAGGGAAAACATTCGCTGTCATCAGCCCATTGATCAGCTAGGACACGATCTCCAGCAAAGTCTCTCAGTGATGGCGATAGAGAGTGCCAAACTTCCTCCATAATTCTCTCCAGCACTCTGTAGGATTAATCCCTGTGACACCACCAAGTGCACCCATAGACATCCTTGTAAGATGACCCAGTTTGACAACGCCAGCCTCCACAAACTTGGTCCTTATTGTAGCAGAATAAAATACAGTGCTGGGAAAAAAGTCATTAAAAAACAGTGGCTCCTCAAGAAGCCACATCCCAGGTCTGGGGTCGGGAGCGCATGCGACCTTCAGCGTCCGCCAGGCGTTCACCACCGAACTGTAAAATGGCACAAGTCCAGACAGATCCACTTGATCCAACTTCAGAAGAAAGAGGTGTTTATCCAAACCAAGTTGGCCCGCTCTCCTAAGCAGCAACTGAGCAGAAGTCATCCAGCTGTGACCACAGACACACAGCAGCCTCTGTGCCGTCTGCAGTCTAAAGGTTGCTGTTCTGCACAAAACATTTATCAGGCCCTGTCCCCCCTCCGCCACAGGAAGATACAGGCCCACCGCACGAAGCCAATGCTGACCCGACCAGACAAACTTCACCAGAAGCCGCTGCACCTCTTCCAGCAGACCGGGTGGTGGCACTAAAACAAGTAATGTGTGCCATAAAGATGAGGCAACTAGATTGTTAGCTACTAGAACTCTACCCCTGTAGGACAGGTAGGAGAGCAACCGGTTCCATTTAGACAGCTTAGCCTCCACCTTTTTCCGCACTCCCTCCCAGATCTGCTTCACAAAGTCATCACTCCCCAAGTAAACCCCAAGAGTCCTAATGCCCCTTTGACCCCAGCGAAGGTTCCCAGGAAGCTTGGGAATACTCGACAAATTCCACTGCCCCACCAAGCAGGCCTCACTCTTATTCCAATTAACCCTAGCTGAGGAAGTGTTCCCATACAAAACCAGACATTCCTGCAATTCCTGCACATCCTTCTGATCCGTAATAAAAACATTAACATCATCAGCATATGCCGACACAATGACAGGAGGGCTCTGAACCATATCTGGAAAAGAGAAACCCTTCAACTTGCTTCTCAGTCTACAGAGAAAAGGCTCAATGGCAATGCTATAAAGCTGTCCAGAGATAGGGCAACCTTGTCTAATCCCTCTCCAAACCGGCACAGGACAACTCAACCCTCCTCCCACCTTCACAACACAGCTGTCATGGTCCTGGGTCATTTTGGCCCAGCGTTTTGTGTTTCCTTGAAGTTCATTTTTGTGCTTTGTGTTTATTCTGATTTTGTATTGGTTTAGGGTTGAACCTGTAGTTTGGTGTGTGTATTCAGCCCTACCTGTGTCTGTCCTTGGTGCTCTGTTCATGTCCCCGTGTTGTGTTGTAAATCAGTCTGTGTGTTCCTGCTTTACTTTGAAGGCTCATGTTCTGGATTTCCTATTCTATTTTGAAGGTCTGTGTCTGTTGTCATTGTGTTCAGCTTGTGTCCTCCGGCCCTCATGTGTATTAGGTTCAGCTGTTCTTCCCTCCTGTGTGTGATTACCTGATTACCTTGTGTGTGTATATTTAGTGGGTGTCGGTCTGTGTTCATTGTCGGCTCGTCTGCGTTCTATGGTGTTCCTGTCTCTGCGTCTCTCTGCCCCGCACCCCTTTTGTATGGTCTCAGGTTTGTCATTTAGTTCTCCCAGTTTAGGTTTCTTCAGTTGTTTTGTCATGCCTCACTGCCTGTTTCTGCCATTGTCACTTTGTAAATAAACATCACTCGTATCATCAGTCACTGCTGCATTTTGGGTCCTCCCTTTCCTCCACACCACACGGCTCATTCCGCCAGCCGTGACAACAGCAAGCATCGCTATACAACAGCTTCACCCAAGTCAGAAACCCCCACCCAACACCAAAGGTCTTCAAGGTGGAAAAAAGAAAATCATGGTCCACACGGTCAAAAGCCTTCTCCTGATCAATAGAAACGACACCAACTTTAGCATTGTACACTTTAAAAATATCAAACACATCTCTCATTAAAAATAAGTTATCAATCACAGACCTATCCAGAATACAGTAAGATTGATCCAAACCAATCAGTAGTTCAATGACCATTTTCAGTCTGTTCGATAAAACCCTGGAAAGAATCTTGTAGTCTGCACATAAAAGGGCCACTGGTATCCAGTTTTTAAGAAGGGCAAAATCTCCCTTCTTTGGGATGAGAGAGATAACTGTATGCCTGCAGGAAGCTGGAAGTATCCCTTTTATAAAACATTACACATCCAGCAGGTCTCGACCCAGAAGACTTCAGAAGTGATTAAAAAAGGCTTATGGTAAACCATCTTTTCCTGGAGCTTTGCCTGAAGCCATCTGAGACACCACCGCAGAAAGCTCATCCAAGGTTATATCCCTGTTCAAAACGTCCCGATCCCCTGGGCACAGCTGAGGAAGCCTCTGCAGAAGATCCGAAGCAGAGTCCACATCGCAGCTATCCGCACTAAACAAGTCCATGTAAAAGGCCACTGCATGCCTTCTCAACTCAGCCGGATCCGTGGTCATCTTTCCATCCGAAAGCTGGAGACACACCATTTGCTTTCTGTGAACCACAGACTTCCCCAAATTAAAGAAAAATGTGGTTGGAGCATCCATGTCCTGGAGCCTGGTGAAACGTGCTCGAACCAAAGCTCCTCTAGCTCTCTCATGTAAAAAATGGTTAAGCTCTTGCCTTTTAGAATGAAGACAGTCATTATTCTGCTGACCTAACTGTGAACCAGAGACATTCTCCATATGTGTTATCTCTTTTTCAAGTTCCTGCACAGTTCTCATGATATTGGCTGTTAAAAAGAAAACTAGATCGCTGACAAAATCATGAATTTGGGACTTTTCTACCTCCCACCATTGAGTAAGGGAATCAAAATCAGCCTTTCTTGATCTCCAGTAATCCCAAAAAACTAAAATTGTCACAGAATATCGATCATGCAAAATTTTTATATTAAACCGCCAAAAAGATTTGGAATTGCTGGTGGTAGATAGAAACGGGTCCATTAAAGCTAAGCGATGATCTGTAAAAACAACAGGAAAACACTGATGGTTAAAAATTCGAGCAGTAAATGAAACAGACACATAAAACCTGTCTAATCTCGCTGCACTAATCCTGCCATCAGTCACTTTCACAAAAGGTATACTGCCTGGATGAGGGATGCTTCATCCGCCACGCATCAACCAAATTAATTTTCCTGATAAAGCAGAAGATGACTGAAGATGCGGCTCCGCCCCAGTCCTGTCCAAAGTAAAGTCAAGACAACAATTCCAGTCCCCACCCAACACAATACAGTCCCCTTGAGCAGCACCACTTAATTTTCCTTTCAATGTTTTAAACAAAATCTCACGTTTAGACCCTAAGGTTGGTGCATAGACAATAACAAAAGTAAAACTAAAACCTTCAATTTCAGCCCTCACCAAAAGGACTCTGCCCTTTACCATCTCTATGCTGAAAATAATATTCGCATTTAGAGAAGGAGAAAATAAAATAGCAACTCCTGCGCTAAAATTTGTCCCATGGCTAAGAAACTTCTGCCCCCCAACCACAGATCCCAGTCTATTTCATTTAAACTGTCAGTATGTGTTTCTTGGAGAAAGACTATATCTAATCTCTTCTGTTTGATCACCTCAGCTAATAAGGCTCTTTGATTTGCATCCCTGCACCCATTCACATTCCAGGAGGCCGCCCTCACTAAGAACTGAGTGAAGTATGCAAGTTAATCTAAAGGATGATGTTGTTTCTCCATAGCAGAGCCACATCAGCTACGTCTGCCACCAAATGTTTAATCAGTGATGCACCAGTCAAACTTTCTAAACACCAGACAGAGCCCTTCTCAGGTCTCTTTCACTTCACCTCATCGTGCTTTCCATCAGGGCCGAGGCAAATGGTAGAGTGCGTCTCCAATTCCTGGAAAGCACAACAGTTCTGAAGATGTCACAGGAACCAGTGTTGTAGAATCTGCCGTCTGCCATCAGAACAGTTGAAGGTTTTCTTCAGACTGGTTTATTTTGTACTTGTGTGATAAAGGTCTCAGATCTCAGACATAAACTCTGTGTGATCTGTACGCACGTAGCAGCTATCACTGCCTAACCAATGAACAAATTCAAAAACGGTATCAAAATTAAAATAAGTATTAATCATCTATTGAAGTAAATTTGGCTTCATACTTTTACAATTTAGCTGAAAAGTAAACATGTTATGGTGGAGGAAAGTTCCCCAGCCCTGTTTTAAAGGTTGGTTTAGTGCTTCAGCCTCTATCCATTTTCTGTGGGATTCTTGTGTTTTATGTCCAGTGGCAGTGATTAGACACATAATGCTGGTGCAGACATTGAAACAGTTTGTCAGAAGGTGTCTGTCTTTGGCAGCATGTTTTTATTTATTTATTTTTTTCACAATGATCGTTAACAGCTCGCTGTGTTCGTTGTAGCTTAAAAAGGGGCCACCGGTGCCTCCTCCACCAAAGGTCACACCAACCAAGGAGGTGGCAGAGGAACAGATCATCGACCTCTTTGGTGGAGAATTTTTACCTGCTCCTTCGCCATCACAGGTATGAGTCCATGTGAATAATGACGGCAGATGTCGTGTGGGTGACAGACTTGCTTACTTGTTTTTGCACTGTCATCTGCAGCCCAATGAACGGCCCGGCGAATCTCTTCTTGATCTGGACTTTGATGCTTTTCAACCAGATGAAAGCGTTTCACCAGTACCACAGGTTCCCTTTATTACCCGAAAGCATCCACACATACACCTGAAAACCATAGCAGTGCACAGGTCTTATTTCTGACATCTCGGCAGGAGCGATTGAGAACTGAGTCTTCACTTACTGTAATGATGACAATGGGAAGCAAACTGATAAATAATTCACCTGCTATCAGCTAACAGACTAGAAGACAGGTGGCGTTTCAGCTGCTGACACACCTGTTAGTAGCTCTTCGGTCCTTAATTCTCAGATTAGATTTTTATATTTCTTCTTGTTGTAGTAAAAATTACTTCTGAAGATAAGCAGTTTTATATGGATTTTCTTAAACTGTAATATATTTGACAAATCAAACAGTCCAAACATTGTTCCTTTCTTCTTGCCAGTACCTCACAAACTGTGTTAGTTATTCAGTATTTTTGCTCCTTTCAGACTGCTGTACCATGGGACATGTGGTCGGTGAGTAACTAACCCTAACCCAACTACTTCTTATTCTACAGCTTGATTTAATGAGAAAACGATCAAGTAAATCTATAAATCCAGATTGCAGTGGTAAATTCAGTTTTATCCCCTTTTTAAGGCAAATACTCAAGCTGCTCAGCCTGTAAGTAAACTCGCATAGTTCACTCTGTAATACATCATTTATTAATAAAGTTATTCACTCCATCAGATGGTCTTGTTAATCCAGTATAGTCTGCACAAAGTCAACGCCGGTCAACAAATGGATCTTTCTGGGTCAGTTTTTCTTTCTTTGGAAATGTAAATCATTATTTTACTCAGTCGTGTTATCGCTGAAGAGCTGTTGCCACATATTTACAATTTCCACAGTTTAAAAAAACATTATCAAAAAGAGGAGATGGAGCAGTTAGTTAAATTCAGAAAGCCCCACAAAATTTTTTCTGTACATCTGGATGCATCGTTCCAAAATACCGTGTCCAGAAGAACAGAATACATTTTCTGGGCTTTCCTGACATAGATAATTGAGCATTTATCAAGACCAAGACTTATGGGAGATTTCCCCAAGGCTGGTTGTCTTACCCCTGTTTAGTTTAAGACAAAAATATATTAACCACTTATACACCAAAACACAGCATAGGTTCTCGGAAGCTGTAATCTTATAGTGTTTATATGTGTAGTGGTACTAGTAGTATAACCTTTTTAAAATTAGTTTGGGGGAAAAAATCATATAACTGGTTTAAATTAAAACCCCATCATCTCATATTTAACTTTCTCTAAAATGGATTCATTCATGTTGTGAATTTTAGGTGTGTGGATTAAAAAAGAAACAACACAAACAAACACATACCTAGAACCACCGACTAATTCATTTTGACCCCAAAGAAATTAATGCACAACAGTTGCAGCATGCCTGGTTGCCAAGCAACACTATTTGCACATGAAGACTGTTTGACATGAAGACTGCTGTATCAGAACAGCTGAGACATGGTGTCTCTTTCAGACCCAAATTGTAGACACCAGAGATGAAGGGAGCCACCAGGCTGCAAAAGGAATCCTATCGGGCTCAGTTAGCCGGGGCGATCGTGGCTCAAGAGTTGGGAGTTCGCCTTGTAATCGGAAGGTTGCCGGTTCGAGCCCCGGCTTGGACAGTCTTGGTTGTTGTGTCCTTGGGCAAGACACTTCACCCGTTGCCTACTGGTGGTGGTCAGAGGGCCCGGTGGCGCCAGTGTCCGGCAGCCTCGCCTCTGTCAGTGCGCCCCAGGGTGGCTGTGGCTACAATGTAGCTTGCCATCACCAGTGTGTGAATGTGTGCGTGAATGGGTGGATGACTGGATATGTAAAGCGCTTTGGGGTCCTTAGGGACTAGTAAAGCGCTATATAAATACAGGCCAGGCCATTTACCCCAAAATATGCCACTCCAAAAATTGGTCCACCCCAGGGATTGGGTCCCCTGACACAAACAGAGTAACATAGTGTATGCTGTTAAGTACCAGGAGGATTGCCAGGATTTATACATCGGGGAAACCAAACAACCTCTGGCGAATCGGATGGCACAACACAGAAGAGCTACCTTGTCAGGCCAGGACTCTGCAGTCTATTTACACCTACAGGCCAGTGGACACTCTTTCAATGATGAGGATGTAACATCCTGGACAGGGAGGAATGCTGGCTTGAGGGTGGAGTCAAGGAGGCTATTTACGTGAAAAGGGAAAGACCATCTCTGAATCGAGGAAGTGAATGGCATGTCATGGCCATTGACCAAAGGTCATGACAATTTGTATGTTGTTAACGCCATAACCACATTAACGTGGCAAATCCCTGTTAGCGAGTTATCGCGGATCGGCCCGTGCGTGGGGCTGCACGGCGTCAACGCGTTATTGTGGTTAGATCATTAATGTGTTGATAGTGACTATACACAGTGCAGGTAGAACACAGTTTCCCCCTCCTGAGTCACCTGACGATTTGCCAGAATCTCTCTGAAAGTCTTTTTCCATGGCCTCTCCAAACTCCTGCTACACAAGTTTTTGCTTCTTCCACTGCCTGAGCTGCATTACGCTTGGCCTGCTACGTATCAGCTGCCACAAATTCCACAGGCTAACTGAGCCCGATAGGATTCCTTTTGCAGCCTGGTGGCTCCCTTCATCTCTGGTGTCTACAATTTGGTTTGGGGGTTACCACCATGACAGGCACCAACCACGTTGTGGCCACAGCTCAGTGCAGTGGCTTTGGCAATGGAGGTGCTGAACATGGTCCATTCAGACTCAATGTCCCCAGTCTCCTTCAGAATACTGCCGGAGGTATATGTCGAAGATCTCACGGGCCTGGGCCTCTGCAAGGCGTTCACTCACTATGTGAGTTTGTCTAGCGTCCTCCCCTGCCGCCTGATTGAACTCACTACCAGGTGGTGATCAGTTGATGGCTCAGCAGCTCTCTTTACCAAAGTGTCCAGAACATATGGCCTTAGGTCTAATAATACGATTACAAAATTGATCATCGACCTGCAGCCAAGAGTGTCCTGGTACCTGGTGCACTTATGGATACCTTCACTTTGTTTGTTATGGACAAGCTGTGATTTGCACAGAAGTTCAACATCAAAAATACCACTCAGGTTCAGATCCAGGAGGCCGTTTCTCCCGATCTAGAGTCATTTCTTTATCCAGAGTTGCACTAACTCAGGCTTCTTTCAAGACAGATGTGACATGTCCCAACTGCTAGTCTTGGTAGCTGAGGATTGGTCAGACAGGGCCTCCGCTACTGGCTGCAGCCTGACACCCAGCTCCTACGGCACTTCCTGCAGTTGGTGGGCCTACAAGAGGACGGGCCCATGTCCCTTTTGTCGGGTTGTGCCCCGCCAGGCCCCATGAACTAAGGCCCAGCCACCAGACCCTTGCCCTCAGGCACCATCCCTAGGCCTGCCTTCAGGGTGAGACCCCAGTAACCCTATCCAGGGCAGGGTAAACTGTTCCCTTAATGGTATACTACCATTGGGGCCCTGCAAGGGGACATAAGCCCACCTGACAAAATAACCCCTAGGATCCCTGGGACACACAAACCCTTCCACCATGATAAGGTAGCGATTCATGGAGGGGAAACAAATTAGGCATAATATCAGAAAGTATATTTAAAAAGAAAGCTCTTGAAAGAGCCATGTTGGGTGTTTTGAAGCTTTTCCTAATGGCATGTAAATCAATTCCAGGAATCAGATACATTTCTAAAAGGTATATAAAAGGAAAGATGGGAAAAGGGAGGATATTCTAAAGTTAACCAGAAACTTAGGAAAAAATATCAGTACCAGTGGAAAAGTACCTCCTCTTTTTCCTTCAGAGAGTTTGGATGGGAGAACTTTTCAGAGCTTCAGTGCAATGTAGGTTTCTCCACGGGGAACTAACTTGCTGGAGATCCTGAGGTGAAAAGCATAGAAACCACTTCCATATTTTCTGGTCTTGCCCACAAATCAGCACATACACAAGACATTAGAAAAAAACATTTAAAGTAACAATTCTGTTATCATTTGATACCCTGTACTTAGTTTCCAAATTTCCAACTCTGGAGGGTGATAAGAAGTATTTGTTAGTAGCCGGTAAGAAAGCACTCAACAGGAAGTAACTAATTAAATCTCCCCTTCAACTGAAGTCTGGGTTGATGTGATTTACAATATTTATGTGATGTGAGAAGCTGACTCTTATTTTGAGACAGGAGTTGGAAAAAAAATCACACTCATCTGGAAACCCTGAACTCACTACACCAGATCCTCTAAGATTTGAATTTTAATAAATAAATAAATTTATTAAAATGAACAGATAATTTTCTTATCTCGAGTAAAATACTAGTCACTATTCTCCACTGGTTTATTAGTTTTGTTTTCGTCTTTCCTTCTCTGTTTTGTTACGCTAATGATAATTATGGACCAAAAGTGCATTCAACTCAATTGTAACACTTATATTTTCTGAAAGAAAACTTGAATAACACACATCTATCTATCTCCTAGACTTCAGGAAACACAGCCTGCCTCTCCATATCAATGTCACTGGGGTGAAAAGAGCTTATGGCCACACATTCCTTGACATTCACATGTCATGGACCCCTGAGGTGGATTGTAAATGCCACAGTGACAATGGGCCAAGCAGTGGCTTTATTTCATCAGGGTGTTTAGGAAGGAACCGGCTGCTTCATCACTAAAGCCTACAGAGGACTGGTGGAGAGCGTTGTCATTACTAGCGCCATTGTATGTTGTGAAAAACACCACTCAGGCATAGAAGGCTCTCAAGAGAGTCATAAAGGCTACAGAGAGAATTATAAGAGCTAATCCTCCATCAATTGACTCAACATACACACAACTCTGCAAGAAAAGAGCCCAAAACATCATCAGAGACAGTTATCATCAGGGGTCACACGTCCTCAGACCAAAACAATCATGGATCGCATGCAGCTCGAGATGCAGGAGAGTGGACGTGCTGATCACGAGACGCTCTCACAACTGCTTCTTTCCTACTACAGTCAGACTGATGGCAAAAACTAAATAAGGACTAACTAAATCACACACAAAATCTAATTTACTCAGTGTGATATATATTTCAATGTGCAAACCCTGTGAAAATGGTCAGGTACAAGGCACTAGAATAAAAATGCAGCAGCTAATGTCTAATGGGACTATGGGTCAGAGTCCCATTGAAATTAAAGTTATGGCTATATCTGCATTCATTAAAAAAATAATCATCTACTTTACATCTAAGATGACTGCTGAGTTGTACACGTTGCTTCTTCAGGGACCTGACCGATTCTATAGACTACAGTCAAATGAAGGCAAAATGCCCCCCAAAAGTCCAACAGTTTGACTAGAAGGTTTCTAATCTAGTGGGTTTTTTTTCTTTGATTGTTTATTTTAAAACTTCCCCTTGAAGTTACATTGAAGCAGTGCAGGTGCTTCAATCAGAAAACTGAAACAGTTTGATCAGCTGTGACTGGTCATCTTTGTGCAGACGACACTGTATTCTCATTTCCTTCCATGAAACCACATGTCTGCCTGATAACATGCTGTGTTGCACAACCTTGTACTGAGGTTAGAGTGGGGAGGGGCAAACTTTAATTCATCATTCGCTATCTGTCCAAGCAGGCTGCAGATACCGGCTTTGTCGCTGACTGGTCTGCTGATTTTGGTTCAGTGTCAGCCAACGGAGAAGATGCTTCAGGAGCTGAGGAACCTGCTATCCCTGGAGGTCCGACTGTGGGGCAGGAAGGGGCACAAGAAGGGGTGCAGGGTGAGACTCGGGGCTGGCCCCAGGGAGAAGGGATTCAGCCAGGTGGAGAATCAACAGCAATCACCCGGGACAGTGAAATCACACCAGCTGAAGATGAGGTTAGCTGCTGGGAATCTCAACCTAACTCCAACCTTCATTCCTCCCTGTGCTGTGGAGAGGATGATAGTACAGGGCAGGCAGATTCAGGGGCAGATGAATTAAGGAAGGAAGATCGCAGAAAGTCTACCCCGGGACTTATATTCACCAATGAGTACGGTGAACAAATTGAGGAAATTGCAGAGGACAGAGGAGACAAATGGTCCAGGTCTCCTGAAGGGTCAGGATCTGAATATGAAACTGCTGAGGAGTGGGGTGATGGTGGTCAGGGAGGAGGCTGGGCAAGTGCTGATGATGAGCTTTCATATGATGATCGAACCCAAGAGAAGAGCCAGAAGGTTCAGGCAGGTGGAGCTGTCCCAGGAGATTGTCCTCAAACAAGAGAAGTTGTTTCCGATTGTTCTAGTATTGCAGCCAAAAGAAACAGAAATAATTCATCCGAAGCAGTGCCAGAGAGACCAGATGTTTATCAAGATCACTGTGAAACTGAAGGAGAAACAGATGAAAGAGTTTATTTCTCTGAAACACAGGGAGGTGCGTTTGATTTTGATCTTATCTCAGAAAAACAGGGAGGAGGTGCGTTTGATTCCGATCTACTTGCAGAAACTTGTGGAGGAGGTGCGTTTGATTCCGATCCTTTTGCAGAAACACAGGGAGGAGGTGCATTTGATTCCGATCCTTTTGCAGAAACACACGGAGGAGGTGCGTTTGATTCTGATCCTTTTGCAGAAACAAAGGGAGGGGGTGCGTGTGATTCAGATCTTATTGCGGAAACAAAGGGAGGAGGTGCGTTTGATTCCGATCCTTTTGCAAAAACACAGGGAGGAGGTGCGTTTGATTCTGATCCTTTTGAAGAAAAACTGGGAGGAGGTGCGTTTGATTCTGATCCTTTTGCAGAAACACAGGGAGGAGGTGCGTTTGATTCCGATCATATTTCAGAAACACAGGGAGGAGGTGCGTTTGATTCCGATCCTTTTGCAGAAACAAAGGGAGGGGGTGCGTGTGATTCAGATCTTATTGTGGAAACAAAGGGAGGAGGTGCATTTGATTCTGATCCTTTTGCAATAACTCAGGGAGGAGGTGCGTTTGATTCTGATCCTTTTGAAGAAAAACTGGGAGGAGGTGCGTTTGATTCCGATCCTTTTGCAGAAACACAGGGAGGAGGTGCGTTTGATTCCGATCCTTTTGCAGAAACTTGTGGAGGAGGTGCGTTTGATTCCGATCCTTTTGCAAAAACACAGGGAGGAGGTGCGTTTGATTCCGATCCTTTTTCAAAAACACAGGGAGGAGGTGCGTTTGATTCTGATCCTTCTGAAGAAAAACAGGGAGGAGGTGTGTTTGATTCAGATCCTTTTGCACAATCACATTGTGGAGACAAAATGGGTGGTTTTGAATTTGATCCATTTGCTGAGACTTCAAAGAAAGCTGAGGCTGTGTTAACTGGGGATAGAAAGAGTGGGTGGGATTTTTCCAACAGTTTCTCAGCCATCTCTTCAGGGACCGGGGCTCCTGCTTCCAGCAATACCTCCTGGCAGGAAGGTAGTGGCAGCAAAAATTCTGCATCCATCTGTGGAACAGCAGCAGCAGGAAATAAAGAAGTAAACAATCCCCGAATTCACAAAGAACCAGAAAATTCAGACATGTCCGAAGATGAGGCGGCAAACCGGAGATTTGGAAAGTTGTACCAAGAGCTAGATACAGAAAAGGAAGAGGTACTTGACTCCCTTCCTTTTGTAGTTGAATGGTAGATTAGAAAAGAATAGAAACAAATTTCAAACAGACCTTTCCTGTCTACCACCCTCCCAGAGACTGAGAAACAGTGAAAGTCCTAAAACCTGGACCTCAGCCTGAGCTCCTCCTGCCTCTCCTTTTGCTTGCCTCCATCTCTTACTATCCTCTGCTTGTTCATTCCATGTTTACACCCATTTCAAAACGAGTCCATCTTGTTATTAGATTGGTCTTACTTGAAGGCTTCTAATATTATTAATACTAACATATATCTCTGGAATTCAATTTAGGTGACCAATACATTTAATGGATTTTCACAGGTAATTTTATTCTAAGCTTAAAGTAATTGGATCCAAAACACTGAAATGAATCGAGTTGTTGTGATTAGTGTCTGGGTTTTGGTAGAAGATCGTTCTTACTAAGTCAACTGAAAGTTTGGGTTTCACCAATGATTCGCTCTAATTCATTGTCATTTTTACTATTTTCTCTAGTTTCTACAAACAATTTTCAGACTTAGAGTAGAACAACGTAAAAAGATTAGAAGCAGGAAGGGGTCAATGCAGAGTTCAGAGATCACTGCCAGAGACTAGTGACTTTGAAAGTAGATGGCGAACCCAACAGCTTACTTCCCCAAAGCCAAGAAGCCTTTATTGTCCAAGTAATGTTAGTCTCCTCTCCAAGTGTCTCTGTTCTATGTCACAACAATGTTTGATGAGAGTGTTCTGCAGATGTACTGAAAGTAAAGCAACAGCACTCCTGCTACATTTGAATTTTTCAAACGTAGCTCCTTAAACCTGCATTTGAGTTAAATCTGGAGATGGTTGCTTTCTCCAAAGATTCTAACCATAGCATGTTAGAGAAGAAATCTGAGAAAACTTTCACGGGGGGGAATTCTCTATGTATGATAACTCTGTTGAAATCATGGATCTCACACTTTAAGTGGCCTCATAGGACCATAATTTTTGAAGGTGCAGTTGCAGAACTTTGATTGCATCTTATCCTACATCCCCATCTCTTAAATATTTCCCTTTTATTTGTGAATGCTAAAAAATGATGCAATTCTCAGTCAGTCAGTTGTGACTTGTTTTTCTCTTTTTATTAAACACATGCACTCTTAAGGATCCATCATTTTTCGCAGATTTTGATAAGATGGTGAGTTTTATAAACATTTGTGTAAACCCCCCCCCCATCTTCCATCTAACTAAGTATCTACACACCTATTTACAGTTCTGTGAAAAACTGAATCCACCTCATTTTTCAGCAGCAGTAACCTGCTGTGATGCTTTCTGTGGGACTTTCTCTGTCACTGTGAAGGAGTTTATGTCCACTCACTTATGCACAGCCTTCTGAAGGTCCAACCACAGCATCTCACTCAGGTTGAGCTCTGGACTCTGACCAAACCATCGTAGTTGCTCCATTCGTTCCTGTTTCAGCCGTTCTGTTGGATGTTTGTGCTGCTGCTGATGGTCCGAGCTTCAGCTATGGGACAGACGGCCTCACACTGACTCTAGAACGCTTAGACAATAGTTCACGGTGCACTAAGATCATCGTCCCTCCTCCACCGTGCTGACAGCTGCTCTCAGGTGTTTTTGCTGATATGCTGGGTTTGATTTTGTGCGTTATGGACAAACATCTCCACTTTGGTCTTGTCTGTCTGAAGGATACTGCTCCAGGAGGCTTTCTTTTTAGACAGAAGAAGCCTTCCCCTGCAGTCCTGCATGCTCAGGCTTTTTTTTAGTCATACTGTCATGAAGTTTAAGTTTAAACCTGCAAACTGAAGAGTCTGAGATGGAGCTCTTGTATTTTTTTGGAGTTTCCCACAGTAAATGATAAATGGACTTGTAGTTGCATACTGCTTTTGTGCTTTAGCTGACCACTGCAGGCTTTTTGCTTACAAGCCGTATTCACCATAGCTGGACTGGCCATCGGGCATACCGGGCATTTGCCTGGTGGGCCGATGTTTTTTTTTTAAAGTTTTTTTTATGCTGGCCGATGTGTAAAAATAAGTCGGTTGTTTGGTGGTGGCTATGGCGGAGCTTCCACAGAGTCAGCAGGTGGATGAGAGAAAGGGGAGGCAGGAGGAGGAGAGACCCGAGGCGGCTGCCGGTCCGAGTGTCAGGTGAACTGAACTTCAGGTAAGAAGTTATCACTGCAGTGTATCTGGGTCAGATATAAACCAAGTTTAGGTGGAGTTTTTTTGCGCTGTGCTGACTTTTTACAGTCAGTTACAATAACTCGTACTGCGTACTAGCTAGCATGGCGGAGTTTATATACAGCTGGGTGGGTGCTATGATGTTACTGATAAGGAATTGTATTTTACTCATAAGGTTAGTTAGTAGAGTTGCCAACCATCCCGTAAAAACGGAATCATCTCGTATTCAGAGAAAATATTACGTGTTTCGTGTTGAGCTGAAAAGGAACAGTTTGTCCCGGACTTCAGCTAGAATGGAAAAATGACACAAAGCTGGAGTTATTCTGTGTCTTCACGCTGTCAGCTGTTTCTTCTCTCATTCTCTCCCCTCCCTCTCCTGTTGCTACTTCAATCATGAAACTGATCAATGATCAGCTGATCGTCTCTCTTGTTTGTTTATTGCCCACTTTGCGCTGAAAGAGGAAACCAGCGGATGTCGCGCTAAACAACAGCAGCACGTTTAAGCTTGATCAGCTGTTGTTAGAATTTATTTAATATTAGTTTCTAGTATCAGCTGATGTTTGCTGGAGCCACAGCTGTAAAGCTGCTGGTCATGATGTCGGTTTGGATATGTGGTGAGAGGGAAACATGAAGATGAAACCAGGAGATGTCCTTACTGGATCATCAGAGCTGAACAGGTGATGGAGAAACAGGTTTACCTTTTAGGTGACATGAATGAGTTGAAGGGAAGTTATGAACTGTTTCTGAGAGACAAATAACACCAGGATCCTTTTTTAAGTAGCTGACAGCTGCTAACTGTGCAGGGGCGGATCTAGCAAAGCTTTGCCAGGGGGCCAGGTAGGGCATTAACAGGGAGAGGAGGACACAAAGAAGCACTTTCTTATTCTCATTTAAAATGTCTCACTTTAATATATAATGATCAGAATCTTAAAGACCAAAGTTTTTATCTGATCTAAAATGTATAGAAATCATACATATACCAACAAGACTGTACATCACTGTCACAACAGTGTTTGTTTTCATTCAAAGGCTTTATGGCTTTAATACCCGGTGGGCCGGTCTCTAGTCAAAATGCTCGGGCTGATTTTTTTGTCCCAGTCCAGCCCTGTTATTCACCCACTCACACACACATTCATTAAAGTGGGTTTTTTGTTTGTTTGTTTGTTTTAAAAGCCAAAATCCCTTGTTAAACACTGTAATGCATGCATTGGAGGAAAATTCAGTATCTTGGCCAGGGATACTTTGACATTAAGGCTGAAATAGCTGTGGAATCGTCCATTGACCTCCAGACTGCTAGACAACCCACTGAACCACAGCCATCCTATGATCTAACGTTGGGGTGGGGTAAATTTGCTGTGATGTCCACGCCAGGGAAGATTGTGTCATTGTGTTAACATACACCAGAATGGTGCAAACCAGCAAATTTCCAGATCTGCTCTTACAGAGGTGCTCACACTTGATAAGCAACCATAACTGGTGCATTTTCTTCAGCATCTGGCTGCTATGGAACCTCCTAATTCCTTAATTAAGGGTGTACTTAGTTTTTCACAGAGCTGCATATGTATGTACTTATCACCTACATAGGTAACTACGTACTTTTTTTTTTACATCATGTAAATATATGATATCAGTCCTGAGATGTATTTATTTCTGCCAGTGAAAAGTGTTAGACTGACCTAAAGCTTAACTTGTAATCATATAACTGTTTAAATGCTGGGAGCTCATATTATGAATTCTGTGGCGTTTAATGAACATCATACTAAATATTGTGAAATGAAGTGGGACATTTAAAGTTAAATGCCATCTTTCTCTGAAAAAGAATGAAGGAAACAGTGAATCAAATGACGCTCTGGAAGCTGCAGAGGCCCAAGCTGCAGGCTCAAGAGAGCCTGCAGCAGAAGACAAACCTCCATCTCTCACTACTGGAGGAGAGCAAGATGAGTGCCCACCTCTTTTTGCTGGAGAGGAACCTGTATCTTCAACTGCAGGAGCAGAGATGGAGGAACCTCCAGCTCCCCCTGCTGGTGAGGTGGAAGAATCTGGAGCTGCTCCAGCTGGTCAGGACGATACAGACACACATTCAGACAGCCTGAAGGAGGAAAAGCCTGCTGTGAGTGGATAACCTTGTAAAAATGCTGCCTTTTGTGATAACCTAATCATCATCTCATCAATATCATCACTGTGACCTCCATCTCATCGTATCATCATCATCACTGAATGAGAAAATCATTGAACTCCACACTGGAGATGTGTCAGTGTGGAAATCATTCTTCTGTTTCCAGCCTGTATCCAGTGCGCATGAAATGTCTTTTTGTGTAAGGATTTTAACCCTTTGCCCTTCTCATTTCATGCCAACAAACCCATACCCCAATCTTTACCCTACCCCATCCACTTTATGACACAAAATGAACTCAATCTCATAAAACACTGCTGCTTTTTGAAACAAAACAAAAACAAAAGCCTTTTCAATTAGCATCACTGAGTTTAAATCGTTATATTCTACTGTTTTCCCAAAAAGTTGACTATGTCCATAGCGTTTCCAGTGGGATGACAATAAAATGTTTCTCCCACTGAAAACGTCCAGATGAACAGAATCAACTTTTTGGATTTTCTTACCTGGATGATTGAGCAGGTATCAACGCAAAATCTATTTTATTTTCCCAAAGTCAACAGTGGTATCTCCAGGCTCAGAACAGGCAGAGGTCAGTGAGGTAGGATACTCCACTTCTTCTGTTTGTTTGCTTTCACTGTCATTTTTACTGTTTATCGGCAACAATTATTGAACAACATAGGTGTGAATGTGAGTGCGAATGCTTGTCTGCATCTGTGTGTTAGCCCTGGGACAGACTGGCGACCTGTGCAGGGTGTACCCTGCCTCTCACTTGAAGACAGCTGGAATAGGCTCCAGCCCCCCCATGACCCTGAAGAGGATGGATGAAGTGTTGAAATGAAATGATGAGAATGAATGCAGCTCTCTGAAAGAGACCTTGAAGAATAATGGTTTGACCCCTACGTTGGTCGTTTTTTGAAACAAAATTCATTTTTTTTCTGTGATTTTACACATGCTGAATTCAGGGTGGTGGTCACTGTTTCATATCTCTTTTCTCACATGTGAACAGGGAGGTCAAAGTTCTAATTTTACAAGAGCAAAAGTTATTATTAAATGTTTGTTCAAACATTCAATGGCCACACAAATGTTCTCAAATGGAAATGATTTCTGTCTGTAAACAGATTCCTTCTGCTGAACAGGCCAAAACTTCTCCCAGTGAAGCAGCTTCATCGGTGAGTCTAGCATCATCACTTTAGATTCAGAAGAAATCATGAAACTTAACTCAATGCCCGTGTGTGTGTGTGTGTGAGAGAGAGTGGCTGAAATTGTCATATCAGCATGTTCTACAAACATACAAATTGTTCCTTAATCAAACATCAGTGGATTTTAGATTGGACAATAAGATCTGATTGAAGTGCAGACTTTCAGCTTTCATTCAAGGGGTTTAACAAAAGTAATGCATTAACTGTTACACAACTTCCCATTTTCACCGGAGGAATTTGTCTAAACCAGGGGTCGGCAACCCACGGCTCTTTAGTCCTTATTTTGCGGCTCCGGGTGGTTTGGGAAAATAAATTAGAAGTATTTAGCTGAAGTGTATTTTATTTGTGTTTAGTTCTTTTTAACTTGTAGTTCTAAATTGGAAGATTACTGTGATTTTGAAATATAAAAATAAAATTATATCGTATTATTTGTTCGTCGCTCAAAATAAGCGTCACACTCGCGGAAGCCGGTGTACCCGCCGAAACGCTGTGCATTTATCGAGACTTTCAACCCCAGGTGGGCCAGTTATGGATCTTCGGATCCACATTATGTCAGCAGCTGTTCTCCACCGTGAACTACGTTAAAAACAAACACCGCTCACGCCTCACAGATGACAGCTTACAGTCCTGCGTAAAGATGAAAGCCTCGTTTTGCAGATGCTGTGCGCAGAGGTTCAGGACCACAAGTCTCATTGTAAACATATCACAGCAGACCCGACGATGCTTGCATGAACAAGCTTTTCAGCATCTCTTTATTGGCCGCTTTTCACACACGGTTGCTGTACACATACAGCCGGCTGTAGCTTTGCAGCTCACAGCCCGACACACACCAACACAACAGCAGAGAGAGCACAGACTTTAAGGCGGCGAGGCATGATTGCGGGTGCCGCTCAGGTGCGTCCGACTTCCATGCAGCGGCACTGCAGACCACGCCCCGCCACACACATTAACCAGGTAAAATACATATTTAGGCAGAATTTTGCAAATATCCATTTTTCATTTTTAGCAGCATAGTACTTTTTTCCAGTTATTTTTTAAAAGTCAGGTCAAGGCTCCAAAAGCACAAAGGCGATATGAGGGTGGCTCACAGCAGCTTTTGTCTGCTGGATCATTTTAGTTCAGCGTCTTTCCTTTGGTTATATTTCTTTAAGAGTTCAAAATGTGTTAATTACATAAATAAAAGGTAATTTTCTCTGTAGAACTTCATGGATTTAAGCAACACACCTTAGTTGCTCCGTGGATTCTTTTAAAAAACAGTTAAAAACTTTTCTTTTCAAACAAGCCTTTTGTTGTACGTATTTTATATTCTTTACATTATTTACATTTGATCTTTTACATTGTGTATAATGTCTATTGATTGTATTGTTTATTTTAATATTTGTGTGCAGCGCTTTGTGACTGCCTGTCTGTGAAAAGCGCTTAATGAATAAACTTTACTTACTTACTTTAGTTGTTCACACAAAGCATAAAGGTAAAAATAACAACATATACAGTGTTATCTTCACTTTAGATTTCAAAAAGTATTTGCGGCTCCCAGTTTTCTTTTGCGTGGAAACCGGGTCCAAGTGGCTCTTTGGGTGTTAAAGGTTGCAGACCCCTGGTCTAAACCAGGGCTCAAAACTGAAAAACTGACATAATTTCAGATATAAGAATTGTTTTTAATACTTGAAAGCAAATCATTTGCAGTTGGTAACGGCCTGTAGAATCATTACACTAGAATGTTGTTTGCTTTTTGAGATGCTCTGCGGGTCTTTACTGCAGCACAATCAGCTGCTGCTTGTTTGTGGCTCTCTGCCTTCTGTTTTGAATTTATTAACTGTAAAAGTGCCCTGCTGGGCTGAGATCAGCTAAGTCTTTCAGCCATAGAAAAATATTGCGAAATTAAGTGAGACATTTCATTTTGCAAGATGCTCTGCAGCAGTAACCTGCTGTGATGCTGTAAATATGAAATGAAAGTTTTTAGATGTGGTCACTAAATGCTCAATGTCCTCTGCAGGAAAATATGCCAATCCCTTCTGTTGTGATTGAGCCTGCCTCAAGTAACGAAGGTGATGATGACCGAGATGCTGACATCATCTCTCCCACTGCAATCAGTGACAATGGGGTGACAACTGAAAACCAGAACATCAAGCATATCAGTCCTTCTGGGGGAGCGTCTGGACTTCCTGATGATTTCCTTTACAAGGTGAGGCTTCTTAGTAAAAGCAAATATTTTATGCTATCAATTGAGGAGGAAAAAGACTTTTCTAATGAACTGTTAAAATGTGGAGTCTAATGTCTGTAAACTATGATGGATACCTGCAGGTGGAGACCATACACGACTTTGAGGCTGCAAATTCAGATGAACTTGACCTGAAGAGAGGCGATGTGGTTTTGGTGGTTCCCACTGCCTCAGTGGAAGATCAGGTGATAATAGCTGGTCACACAGAAATGTAATAAATAAAAGTTCTTCACCAACATGACAAACAACATCTTAACAGGATTGTTCTGATGTTTTTGTGTGTTTGCTGCAGGATGCTGGCTGGCTCACAGGGATCAAGGAAAGCGACTGGTTAACATTTGGAGCTGGTGCTCAAAAAGGACTTTTCCCAGAAAACTTTACTCAACATTTGGAGTAAGATGTTCCCTGACATGGCAAAATGATAAGTAGAAACATGAGTAATCTGTGTCCCAGCCATTGAATCAGCATGTAGCCATTCCTTTTCTTGTACGTTGTACCTGCTGCAGCTGTCTGCTGGACAAACAATAAAGTTTCTCTGGCAGGTGAAACTGTACTAAAATGAAATGTTATTGTTAAAAAAAAAAAGGAAAAAAAGAAGAGAGAGAGTAGTACTCTTCCGAGTTCCCCTGATGATTTAAGCATGGTGTGGTAGTATGTTCCACCCTCCTGTGGAAGTAAGATATGCCTTTTGTTTAAATAGAAATTATATATAAAACAATAATAACTCAACAACAAAAAGCTTGAAGTGACCAGGTGAAAACAAAGGAAAAAGATAAAACTGTCTTTGCACTGTGTGGTAATCATTTTGTTTTGCTATGAAAGACTACAGAAACTTTAATGCTGTGATTTGTTTGTGAGTGCAACATGAAACTTGGGTTTCTTTTTTCTGACACGTTGTAACTGTAACTCTTGAATCACTGTTGATGTTTTCTGTGTTATCATTATTGGGTGTGTGGTGATTGATCTTTCATTTGTAATATGTGTTGATGAACTAACTCACTGACCCGTGTTGCTTTGGTTCTGCTAAGGGGAAACTGATGTTTATTGTCTGGGTTTTGGCACACAAAGTAGTGCAAATGCTGCATGAAAATCCTAAATATTCAAAGTACATATACTAAAGATGACAAATAAAGAATTTCTTGTGTGTTACGCATAGATTTGTGTATGGCATATCATCTGAAAATTTGGTTACAAGAAAAAAAAAAAGCAAATAAGGAAATTTTTTGTCAGCGGTTTAAGTGTTTCATCAAATAGAAGGTATTAACAAACCAGTCTGCAATTATTTTTTTAGGCTTCAGAAAAATTACTCTTATACTCTAGAAAATGTAAACCTTCATCAAACTGGTTTTGATAGCCAGGTGAAGCCTCCCAGTAGACCTTTATGTGATGCACACAGCCTTGAGATAATATTGGTGTAATGAATTAAATAGTAAATTCCATGTTTGATATTGTATATGGTTCTATGCTAATAAAATAAATAATAAAATATTAATGTTTCAGTCAAGTAATTGGACCAAATGGTATCTTTAATGTTTAGAAATCAGTCAAAAGATAAAAAAGGGTATGCTATTAGAATTATGTTTTAATTATTCTTTAAAGATTTAAATGGTTTACATTAGGCTATAGCCAGCTCTAAAACAGGGTTCACTGGAAATGACTGAATAACCCTAACGCCTAGAATCCACAAATTCTGTGGCATCCTGGTAGCAGCATGCACCTGCCTGCCAAGTTTGGGCCAAAATGTGAGTTTTTAGGGGTTAAGTATTGTCATGTCTAGGGTTCCCTGGTGGACTCAAAATGCAGACTTGCAGTTCTCACCTTAGTGTGTTTAATTGCAATGAATGATTCAGAAACAAATTACGCTGGGGTTAGGGGTGAAGAAAAAGGGGAAATCAAAGTTGGGAGCACGGTCCCCGAAGGGTTAGGGGTTAGGGAGAGGAACAGTGTTCCGGTTCCTGAAGGGACGCGGAGGTGCACGGTCCTTCCCTTGGGCCCTCCCGCTACTCCACTGCCTGTTACGGCTGAAGAAAAAGAACCTGTCCCTCCCGAAGGAGGAACAGGGCGTGCACGGGCCATCAACCCCGATGGTCCACAGCCTCACATCCCTCTACCTCCATAAATATTTTTGATTTTCAAGGTAAGTATTTCTTTTACAGGTTTTTTCTTTCCAGGTAAGTACGGTTTTTGTTTTAAATTTCAAAAGGTAAGTATTTGTTTTTTACAGGTTCTCATTGTCTGTGTCCGTTACTTTGGCTCGTTTCCAATAAAGTATTTTCAATCCCAATTTGTTTTCTGTGTGGTTTTTTCATTTAGTTTTGATGTATCTCTGATTTGAGTTTTTAAGGAAAATCAATAAAACATGAATCAAAACATGAAATAAAATCCCCCAAAATAACAAACTAAAACAACAAACTAACATAAAATTGAAAAAATTAAATGAGTATGCCCTTGTCGCGACGCTTCGAAGGTGTTTCTTCTTCCTCAGGCGAGGGCATACTGAAGAGCTTTGTGTTTGAGGCTCCTATTTATACTCTCCCCTCTGATCCCGCCTCCTTGGCTTTCTTTGGCTTTCTTGTAAAATCTTTTACTGCTTTTCGCTTTTTTCCAATTCTGCCAGACTTTTTGGCTCTCATCTTTCCCTTCTTTCTTTCTGTCTTCTTTTCCAGTTTTCTCCTCTTTCCCCTTTTGTCTTTTCCCTTTTCATCATCCTTTTCTTCCCTTCTCTTGACCTCTGCCCTTTACCCTTCCTATTGGCCTACATCTGACCTCTTTCTCTTCCAATTTTAGGTTACTACTAATGCCGACTTGGCTTTAACTACAATACTCTCGACCCTGCTTGGGGAGGACTCAACCCGACTTGGGGAGTAAATTTAGAAAGGAGATGTGGCTTTGGGTTAGGCTTTAGGTTTCAGCTGGGATTAGGATTACTTGGGCTTCAGATCCAGTACTTGGGTAAGGTTTAAGATTTAATTTCCAGGAAAGAAGTAGAGTTAAGGATCAAAATTTCAAATTGTTTAGGGCCAGATTAGATGGGTTAGGGTTAGGGTTAGGGTTAGGGTTAGGGGTTAGGGTTAGGGGGGTTAGGGTTAGGATGAGGAAAATAATCCCTTCTCCGAAAGGAAAAGGAGCGTGCACGGTCCATCCCTCCCTGCGGCCCTCCGTACCCGTCCCAGAAGACTTGGCGGTCACGTTGGCGGCGGCGGCCATAGCGTACCACCGTCCAGCCATCGTCCATGGCGTCCAGAATTGTTTTGTCTTTTTTCTTTTTTCCAAAAAAATTAATTGTGCTTCAAAAAATATTTATTTAATCTTAATGTGAACAAAAAACGCTTTCCAAAATGTGGAAAGGAAAAAATCACGTAAAAACAGTAAACAACAAAAGAAGGTGTGCCAAAAAAAACTGTTTATTCAAAATAAACACAAAAAACACAACGTTTCGACCGTACACGGTCTTCTTCAGGTGTGGCACACAGAAAACTGTAAGCTAGGTTAGCTGGCAACAGTTGGACTGGCAGACATGTGCTCCCATCGAGTGCCGAGTGGAAAATGAGCTCCTGTGTGAGCTCCGCCTTTTATATTCTCCCCTCGGCTGTGTAAAATCCCATTCGTCTTTTTTAACTTTGGTTCGGTAAAAATGAATTTGGTCTTTATTTTTTAATCTACATTACATTTTAACTGTTTTTTAGCCAAAAACAACCTATTTGCACTCCATGAAATTACTGTTAATGAATCTTAAAGCCAAATTAATTTAATCACTGTTTTATTCCCAATTTGTTTTTTAATCCATTTTTAACTGTAAATAGTCTTGCAAACCCTATGAATTGTGCCCAAATTAATTTAATCACTGTTTTTATTCCCAATTTGTTTTTCAATCCATTTTTAACTGTAAATAGTCTTGTAAACCCTATGAATTGTGCTAATAAATTTATAAACCCTGGTTTTTAGAATTTTTAAGCCAATTTTCCAATTTCTCACTAATTAAGTCCCCCTTTATTAAATAATATATACCGAGGGCCAGGAGGTGGGGATAAAGTGGTTAGGGTTAGGGTTAGGGGTTAGGGTTAGGGGTTAGGGTTAGGGTTAGGGTTAGGGGTTAGGGTTAGGGGAGATCAAAATTGGGAGCACGGACCCCGAAGGGGGCCGGGCTCCAATGCACAGACCGTACCTGTTCCCATCTCGGGTGTCCAGGATTACCCCAACCTCACTCAAAGGAGCTGTAAGGTGGGATCCCGTGGATGGGGTTAAAAGGTGGAGGGAGGAGAGGTAAAGAGGAGCAGGGGAAGGTTGGAACTGGGGATCAAATCACACCCTGTGCAGAGTAAATTAAGGTTAGGTTTAGGGCCCAAAACACACTCTGCACTGGGTCTACTGAGGTTAGATTTAGGGCCCATCCCAGGGGTAGGGGAATATTCAGTCCCATTAGGGATTAGGTTAGGTTTAGGGCCGGAATTGATATTTGTATAGGGTCCACTAAGGTTAGGATTAGGGCCAGTTGCAGGGGTAGTCTGTTCCCCAGTTAATTTTTACAAAGAGCTGGAATATACAATATGAGAGACAGTAATAATAATCAGAATGTGATACAGTAACTATATACAATCTCTGGGATTAACTCCTTCCAAATCCCTTCTCATTAAGGCCTTTTGGATAAATTGTATCCAATTTGGCCATCCAGATTCTCTCCGCTCTCCTCCTCTGCTGTGTTGTCCACCTCGAATTCACCTGGATTGCCGTCGCTGTGACAGATGCCCAGCCATGGAGTAAAAAGTGCTTTACCAGGTAAGTATGAGTGTTCTTTTTTTGTGTAATATTGTGTCTGTGTTGGGTAAATCTAGTTAAAAGTGTGTTGCCTGTTTCTCCCACATACTGGATTCCACACTTTTTACATGTAATTAAATATACACAGTTCTTGGATTTCGGGGTCCCTTTGCACACTGATTGGAAAACAGTACCATTGGAGTGACTGCGTACCCATTTGCGGTGCTGGAAAAATTGCCCCTGGGTTCTGCGCCCGGGCTCAGAGACAGGTGAGATTTGGGCCCTAATGAGGAGGTCACCCAAGTTTTTATGTCTCCTGAAGGCTGCAATAACCCTGTAATTCTGAAGTGGCTGTACATTCTGAGTCAGTTTCTGGAAGTTGTTTTTAATAACTCTGACCATTTTACAGGTGCAAGGAGCATAGGTGATGACCACTGGAAGTAGAGGAGACACATCCACTGGTTTGGTATGTAGGAAGGAGTTAAAGCATTTCCTTAAGAAAGACCAACAGTACCCCCTATTGGAGAGAGCCGAGAATAGAATTTTGACCGCAGCTCCAAAATCAGTCTGTTGTGTACAGATTCTGTGGAACCTCAATAGTTGGGATTTAATTATCCTGCAAATGTGTGTTTGGGGTGGAGGCTGGTTTTAAATAGCAGGGCATGTGTATCTGTAGGTTTAAAAAAAACTTTAATATCCAATTTGTGGTCATTGAGGAAATTTGGGCCCTTGAATGTGGTCGTATCCAGAAAATCAATAGAAGTTTTATTGATGGTTGATTTGAGCTTAATAGAGGCATTATGGTCATTTAAAGTCTTCAAAAACACCTCAAAATCCTGCTCAGAATGCTGCCAAATTCCCCAGATATCGTCCAGAAAGCGATAGTAGTGCAGCGGTTTTTTGATGCACTTATCTAGTGCAGAGGTCTCCCACTCTGCCATGAAGATATTCGCATATGCTGGGGCAAACTTTTTCCCCATGGCCGTCCCCTTAATCTGTAGATAGAAGTCACCATTGAATTCAAAATCGTTCCTTATAAGATTTATTTCTAACAGTTGTAATAATTCCTTTTCCGGTCTTTTCTTATTCGGGTATCTTTGAAAGACCCTCTTAATGGAGTCAATGCCTTCACCAATGTCAATGTTTGTGTAAAGGCTATCAATATCTATGGAAACAGAAAGGCATCACTGGGGACTTCTATTCGTTTCACTTTATCCACAAAATCATATGTGTCTTTAATGTAGCTTGCATGTTTTGTGGATAAAGGATTCAAAAAATAGTCTAAATACTCTGCTGTGTGATAAGTTTCGCTGTCACAGTCAGAGACAATTGGTCTTCCCGGGGGCACCTGAAAGGGGACACTCCATTTTGTCGGGTCTTTATGGATTTTCGGCAGCATGTAGAAGAGCCTTCCCCTTGGTTCAGCGGACCCCAGTAAATAGTTCCTTTGTTTTACGTTTATGAATTTCTTTTGGTGTAAATTGTTAATGATTTTTTCCACCATAGGTATTGTGTCATGAAAAATGGGTTTTTTAAGTTTCAAATAGTATGTTCTGTCATTCAATTGTCTATAACCTTCCTCCAAATACTGTTCTCTGTCCAGAATTACAACCGCGCTTCCTTTGTCCGCTGGTTTTATAATAATTTGTTTGTTTTCTTTTAGTTCTGTCAGGGCCCTTGTTTCTTCTGTTGTCAAATTAGGTTTAATACGTTCTACATGAAATTGATTATGG